GACGCTCCGTGGGATGGGGAGGCTCTGCGGAAATCCGGCACGTGGCCAGCGCCGCAGCCAGGGCGCAGCTGCTGGGGGTCTGGGAGCATTCTGATTTTAAGTCGGGCTTCTACAGTTGGGGCGTTGACCCAAGGAACCCAAAATAAGGAACGAGGCCCCTTTTTCCCATAAGTTAAACTCCGATTTTCCATGGAAAACCTCAGTAACACCCAAGGAGCACTGTAAAACAACTGAGGAACACGGAGCCCCTCCCAAACGAAAAGGGTTCCTTCTTCAGCGCCCCGACTGTAGGTGGAGGTGCGGGAGGAGGAGGAGGGGGTGGGGCGGAGGCGAGCGACGGGCCGACACGCCGCCCCGCGCCCCCCTCCCCTGCCACCCTTCTCCTGCCCCTGTTCCTCATTGTCTGTGGGAAAAAGAAAAAGAAAAACACAAAAAAAACACAACAAGAAAAATAATAACACATCTTTCTCCTCTTCCCACCCGTCTCCTGCCCCTGTTCCTCATGGTCGCCCTCGTCCGCCTTCCCCCCTCCGTCGCGCTTCACGCCGCTGGGCTGAAGTCGGGCCTGTCCCTCTACAGGGGGAATATTCAAACATAGTCAAAAGATAGTCCGGGGACTATTTGTTGAGTATTTGTTTGGCCCATTTTGGAGTATTGCTGGGGTATGTTTTGTATTTCTCGTCGAAAATCCCCCTGTAGAGGGTCACGCCCGACTTAATTCTGATTGGAAGAAGCCATGTAGACAATCACGTGAGTATGATCTGGCGCGTGGAGTAAGGAGTGCATGCGCGGAATAGGCGGCGACCAGAAGGCATGACCTCGGGAGAGAGGAGAGCAGTGCTCACGCGGAGTGGTCGTGGAGAGACGAGCGGAGCTTTCCTGAATGCGCTTGCTTTGCCCGGCTCCTCCTCCTCCTCCTCCTCCTCCTCCTCCTCCTCCTCCTCCTCCAACTCCTCCTGGGCCGCGTTGCACCCAAGGGCGCGAGCACGTCCCAAAATGGGCCTGCGGTCGGAGCGGGGGCGCAGGAGGCCAGGGGGGCGGGCGTCTGCTTCGCTTGCGGGGGGGCAGCGCCCGCGCCCCGGTTATCCTCCAGGATGTCCCTGCTCCTGCTCCTCCTAACGCGGGATGACGATTAACAAAGAAATGGGAGAGAACGATGTTTTAAAAAGTTTTCTGCTATGTATGCACAATTTTCTCACTGGAGGAGAATCATTTAAACAAAAAAACATAGTTGTCCAGCCCGCGGCCGGTTTTTTCTAATCGTCATCCCGGGCGCCGCCGCGTGAACACGACCCCCAGTCATTTATTAATCTTCATCTTCCATTTTTCTTAAGTCGGGCATGTCCCTCCACAGGAGGGATATTCAAACATAGTTTGAAACAAGATAGAAACAGTCAGTGGACGATGTTTCGATTAGTTGTTGTTGTTTGCTTTTCAATGTGTTTTGGCGATGTTTATTTCTCCTCCGAACTCTCCCTGCAGTCGGACATGCCCGACCTAATCCTACTCATTCTCCCTCCCCCCTCCGCCTCTCAGATCCTTCCTCCCGGGCGTTCCTCACCAGGTTGCTTTAACTCAACGCAGCTTTTCTCCTCGCTTCTCATCACCCCCTTTCCTCCACGATTCGGCCCTCCCTGCGGCTTCGTGCCCACATCTGTCCCCCCCGTTGCCTGCCTCCCTCATCCTCCCTCCTCCCGCTCGCCCATCCTCCCTCCCTCCCCCCTCTTTTTTTCTCCTCTTTCGCATCATCCCCTCCCCCTCTCCATGCCTAATCATCCTGCCTCATCCTCCTTCCCTCCTCTTCCGCTTTCCTCCTGCCCCTCGCCTTTCCCCCCCCTTTCCCGTGATGTGTGTTTTCCTCCTCTTCTTCCTCCTCTTCCTCCTCCTCCTCCTCCCACTTCCCCCCCCCGTCTGCAAAGGCCCGTGCCCGCGGGCCAAACGCCCAACCTTCCACGGAAAGACGCCTACATTCCTTCCTCCCCCTTTTTTTCGTCGTCCGCATGTTCCCACTTCTTCTTCTTCTTCTTCATCAAACTCATCATCAGCAGCGTCATCATCAGCATCATCATCATCACCACCATCATCATCATCATCATCATCAGCATCATCATCATTCATCATCAGCATCATCATCAGCATCATCATCAGCAGCATAATCATCACCATCATCTTCACCATCATCATCAGCAGCATCATCATCATCCGCCTCCCCCTCCTCCTCTTTCTTAGTCTCCTCTCCCCTCTTTCTCCTCCACCCCTGTCCTCCCCTCCACCTCCTTGTCCTCCTCCTCCTCCTCCTCCCTCCTCCTCCTCCTCCTCCTCCTCCTCCTCCTCCTCCATCCTTTTTCCTTACACATAAGTTCTCTCTGCCGCACCCCGAGTCCAGTTTTTAGGGCGGGCCGAGCGCTTCGCCTGAGACTTCCTCATCATGTATGACCCTACGCGGCGCACAATTGTTTTAAACACTTGCAAGCGTTTCACGGATTGAGGGCGGGTCCTTTTCAACATGTCGTTCTCGCCTTAGCGCGGCGCTCATTCGTTTCAAACAATTGCAAGAGTTTCACGAATTGAGGGCGGGTTCTTTTCAAGTTGTGGTTCTCGCTTTAGCGCGGCGCACATTCGTTTCAAAACAATGCAAGAGCTTCACGGATTGAGGGCGGGTGGTTTTCAAATTGTGGTTCTCGCCTTAGCGCGGTACACATTCGTTTCAAAATTATACAAGAACTTCACGGATTGAGGGTGGTTCGTTTTCAAGTTGTGTTTCTCGCCTTAGCGTGGCGCACATTCGTACTGAACACTTGCAACCGTTTCACGGATTGAGGGCGGTTCGTGTTCACATTGTGGCTCTCGCCTTCGCGCGGCGTACATTCGTTCTAACAACTTGCAATAGTTTCGCACATTCCCATCATCAACGTGCCAGACATTGTTTTGAAAGGGTTCAGGATTTATGCAGGTGCAGCAGTTATGATGATACGCGGCGTTGAAGTCCCAGACAGGATCGTCAAGACGCAACCTTCAGGTTATCCGTGGCGTTGGAATCCTGATAGCAATGTTTTGGCATGCTTCAGGGTCTTCCAACGGTTGTCTTCCAAAGAGGCAGTTCTCTCAACTAATATGAAACAGTGTAGGGGTCTATGAAGAGGGAGCTTGGAGGGAGGGTTGATTTCAACATCGTTGATGGTTCTTGGGTTTGCACTGGCCATCCTTCTCCTCCTCCCCCATACGACTCCTCCTCCTCCTCCTCCTCCTCCTCTTTTTCCTCCTCTTCCTCCTCCTCTTCCTCCTCATCCTCCTCCTCCTCTCCTTCTCCTCCTCCTTCTCCTCCTCCTTCTCCTCCTTCTCCTCCTCCCCCGCCCCCTCTTCCTCCTCCTCTCCCCTCCTCCTCCTCCTCCTCCTCCTCCTCCTCCTCCTCCTCCACCCTCGCCTCCTCCTCCTCCTCCTCCTCCCTCTCCTCTCCTCCTCCTCCTCCTCCTCCTCCTCCTCCTCCTCCTCCTCCTCCTCCTCCTCTCTCCGTGTCAGTTTTTGGGTGAAGTTCCCACCCGCGCCGAGGCCACGCCGCTCGGCCCCTGTGCACGCCGCTGCACCGCCGCACGCCGCACGCAGCCGCCGCCGCCGCGCGGCGGGCCCCCGCTGGCCGCCGGAGAGGCCGCTCGCCGGGGCGCCGCGCGGCGCCCGCACGCCGCACGCCGTCGTCGTCAAGGCGTCGGTGGCCGTGGCTGCCATGGCGGTCGTCGTCGTCGTCGTCGTCGTCGTCGTCGTCGTCGTCGTCGTCGTCGTCGGGGTCGTCGTCGTCGTCGTCGTCGTCGGGGTCGTCGTCGTCGTCGTCGGGGTCGTCGTCGTCGTCGTCGTCGTCGTCGTCGTCGTCGTCGTCGTCGTCGTCGTCGTCGTCGTCGTCGTCGTCGTGCTCGCGGTGCTGACGCTCGTTGTCGCCACGGTCGTGGTGGTTCCGTCGTGGTCATGGTCGTCGCTGTCGTGGCCGTTGTCGCCGTCGTGGCCGTTGTCGCCGTCGTCGCCGCCGTGGTCGTCGGCGTCGTCATCGTCGCTGTCGCGGCCCCATCCGAGTGGTCGCGCGGGGGCGGGCGCCTGCTCCAAGCCAGCTTGGCTCTCAACTGATCGCGCCATCCCACAGCTCGCAGCTAGCTGCAAACGCAAATCACTCGGGCCAGGACGGCTGCGTCGACGAGTCGACGAGGAGGAGGGAGAGGGGCGAGGGCCAAGTGGACAGAAGCGGAGAGCTGACCGAAGACAGCAAGCGGAGAAATGAAGCACGGAGGCGGACGCAAGACGGAGGAGAAGGAGGAGGAGGAGGAGGAGGAGGAGGAGGAGGAGGAGGAGGAGGAGGGGAATTGAATGGCGGTGGGGAGGAGGAGGATGTGGACGTGGAGAGGAAGGAGGAGTCGGCGGAGGAGGCGGAGGATGCGGAGGAGGCGGAGGAGGCGGAGGCGGAAGAGGGTGGAGAGAGGAGGCGAGAGGGAGGAGGAAGGATTGTGGACCAGGGGCGACGGATGAGGTTGCAGGCGGAGAGGAGGATGATGAGGAGGAGGAGGAGGAGACAAGAAGAGGAGGAGGGGGAGGAGGAAGTGGAGGAGGAGGAGGAGGAGGAGGAGGAGGAGGAGGACGGGGAGACAAAGCAGGAGGTGGAGGAGGAGCAGGAGGAGGGAAAGAAAGGGGGGGAGGACGATGGATGAGGAGCAGGGTGGAGGAGAGAGGGGGCATGAGAGAAGAGGCACGAGGCAGGAGGCAGGAGGCAACGAAAGAGGCTGTCCAAGCGCCGGGGAGACGGAGGGACCCGGGGCAGAGGCGGAGGAGCGGAGGGGCGTTCAGCCGCCTCGGCTCGGGGGCGCCCCCGCCGCCCACGGTCGCCCCCGCCGCCCCCGGCCACGGGCGCAGGGGGGCCGCGCGCCGCGGGCCTGCCGCCCAATGCTGCGCGCCCTCCGCGCCTGCGCCGCGTGAGGCCCCCAGGCGACCCGCGGCCAGGCAGGCGACGCGCGCGTCGGCCGATGGCCGACGCCGCCGCGGCGGCCGCCACGAGCGCGGCCGCGGCAGGGGCGGCCGGGCCCGCGGAGGGGCCTGCGGAGCTGCTGGCGCTGCGGGCGCTGGTAACGCAGGCCCCGGCCGAGGAGGACCGAGGGGCTGCCGTCCCGCCTCGCTCCCTTCCTCTCTCCCTCCCTCGCTCCTCGTTCTCCTCGTCCTCGTCCTCCTCCTCCTCCTCCTCCTCCTCCTCCTCCTCCTCCTCCTTATAAGTAACTTCTCCCTGTCGCACCCCGAGGCAAGTTTCTAGGGCGGGCTGGGACCTCCTCACCACTTGTGACCCTGAAGTCTAGACATCTAGACATTTGCAACAGGTTCACAGGTGGAGGGCGGCTCGTTTTCAAAATGTGGCTCTCGCCTCAGCGCCGCGCACTCTCTTTTTAAACGCTTGCAAGAGTTTCGCATATTGAAGGCGAATGGTTTTTCAAATGTGTCTCTCGCCGTAGCGCCGCGCATATTCGTTTTATGAAGTTCCGGAGAGTTTCACGAATTGAGGGCGGTTCCGCCTCAACATGTGGCTTTCGCCTTGGCGCCGCGCACATCCGATTTTAAAGCATAGCAGGAGTTTCACCTGTTCCCATGATCAGCGTACCAGGAATAGATTTTTGGAAGGATTCAGGATCATGAGGGGGCAACAGATACGTTGATTCGCGGTGTTGAAGTCCCAGGAATGGCCTTCTGGCAAGATTCAGGATCGTCAAGACGCAACAGTCAGGTTGATCCGTGGCGTTGGAATCCTGAGAACAATGTTTTGTCATGCTTCAGGGTCTTCAAACGGTTGTCTTCTAACGAGACAGTTCCCTCAGTGGAAATGAACCGTAGTACGGGGCCTATGAAGAGGGAGCTTGGGGGAGGGCTTGTTGCGACATCGTGGATGACTCTTGGGTTTACAGTGGACCTTCTCATGCTCCCCCTCCTCCTCTTGCTCCTCCTCCTCCTCCTCCTCCTCCTCCTCCTCCTCCTCCTCCTCCTCGGGGGAGCGCGCACGGGGCGGGGGTTGGCGCCGCGGGCTCTCGGCGAGGAGGGAGGGGGTGGGGAGGAAACTCTGGCGACTCTGCCCGATCGCGCAGCGATCTGTGTCCTCTTCCGCCGCAACCTCACTGTGGGTTGCCTATGGTCGGGCCTTTCGGCTTTGCCGTGAACTTCGGGCGCTTCAGCCTCGTCGCCCAAATCCGACAAACGTACAACAGAGAAGGAGCCGGAGGAGGAGGAGGAGGAGGAGGAGGCGGAGTTGGAGGCAGATGCGGAAGCAGAGGAGGATGCGGCGGCGGCAGCAGCGGCGGCGGAGGAGGAGGAGGAGAAGGAGGAGGAGGAGGAGGAGGAGAAGCAGCAGTCGCTCGACAACGCCCGCAGCTCGAAGCTCGAAGGAGGAGGAGGAGGACGGGGAGGGGGGGAGCGAGGAGGAGGAGGCGGAGGAACAATCGCTCGACAATGTCCGCAGCTCGAAGCTCGAAGGAGGAGGAGAACCAGGAGCAGGAGGAGGAGGAGGAGGACGGGAATGGGGAAGCAAGGAGGAGGCGGAGGAGGAGGAGGAGGAGGAGGAGGAGGAGGATGAGGAGGAGGAGGAGCCGACAACGGGAAGAGAAGAGAAGGAGGGAACAGTGGACAGTGGTGGTCTGGCATGGTTTCGGCGCGTGTTCGCTTGAGACGTCGTCGCAATTGGCCTAGTTCGTCCTGGTTTCGGAGCGGTTTCCCTTGAGAGGCCCTTGCAATCTGCCTGGTGTGTCGTGGTTCGGGCGCGGTTTCGCCTGATGGTCCTCGCGATTTCCGTGTTATGGGCGCGATGTTGTTTCACACTCTCTTACGAGTTGTTCCGTTGGGCCTGGTTTGGGCGCGGAATCGCCTGAGACGTCCTTGCGACCTCCCAAGGTTGGCCTGGTGTGCCTAGTTTGTGCGCGGTTTCGTTCGAGGCATCCTCACAATTCGTTTGATGGGTAAAGGTTCGGGCAGGGTTTTGCGTGGTGCAAGCTATGCGGTGCAAGCCAGGCGGTGTAAGCCCATATCGCCTCGCCCTCGTCAACATATGACCAGCTGCAGGCCAGCGTTGATCCGTAAATTGTTGTCAGGAAAATTCGCCGTAGTCTGTACTACCTTTTACTCACTCAGACTACTCGAGTGCATTCTTATTATTACACGTTGGTACCGCAGGGCGTGGTGAGATGTACGAGTCTGTTCCAGTTTGTATATTTGCACAACGTATACAGGTAGCTGGTACTGCAGAGCGTGATGAGATAGATATACGAGCCTGTCTCAGTCTGTACCTATGTACAACATACAGATATCGTCATAACGTTGGAACTTTAACCACTTTAGCTGAGGAGGGGCTCTGGTTTTCGGGCCGCTCCTTCGGGCTTGGTCGGGGAACCCATTCGTGGCCGAGGCTTGCCGTGGCCAGGAAAAAACCTGATTCAGCGCTCCTTGTGGTAGCGCCGTGACTATATACCATGCATCTGCACGCGTACATGTGTTTGACAAGCGCAGATACAGATACACACATGTGTCGCCGCGCCGTTCGTTCCGACGCGTGGCCTTACGTCTTGGGGAGGGCGCCTCGGCCACCAGGGCAAACGCCGCCTCGGACGCGGTGGATTTGCCGTGGGCGTTGCCGCGGCGCCGGCTGCGTCTCCTTGGGCGCGGCACGCGGGGCTTGCCGTGGACTTGCCGTGGGCGTGCCGTGGTGTTGGCGTCGTCCACTTGGGCGCGTCGAGGACACAGGGCGCGGCGAGAGATGCACTTCTTTGGCCATGCGAACAGGGCGCCCCGCGGCCGAGGAGGAATAGGAGGAGGAGGAGGAGGAGGAGGAGGAGGAGGAGGAGGGGAGGAGGGGGAGGAGGAGGGGAGGCGGAGGGAGAGGAGGAGGAGGAGGAGGAGGAGGAGGAGGAGGAGGAGGAGGAGGAGGAGGAGGAGGAGGGGAGGAGGAGGGGAGCGGAGGGGAGGAGGAGGAGGAGGAGGAGGAGGAGGATGAGGAGGAGGAGGAGGAGGAGGAGGAGGAGGAGGAGGAGGAGGAGGAGGGGGACGAGGAGGAGGAGGAGGAGGAGGAGGAGGAGGAGAGGAGGAGGAGGGAGGAGGGGGAGGAGGAGGAGAAGGAGGAGGCGGCGACAGCTACGCACACGTGCAGCTGCACACTCGCGCAGAGGCGCCCGCCCCTGCGCAGGAGGGCGCTGCGCACGACGGCGCCTGGCACTGGGCGGCCGGCCGCGGCGCGGCGAAGCCGCGGCCGGCCACGGGCGCCGCCTCGGAGGGGAGCGCGGCTCCGACGCCCGCCCAGGTGACGACGACTCAGAAAGCGAAAAGTCACCCCCACCCCCAATCCCGACTCCCATCCCCGAGCCGGCGATTCCAGGAGGTCGGGACTGGGGGTGGGGGTGGGCTTGCTCCGTTCTTGGGCCCCCAAAGGGCCACCCCCGAGCCCCAGTCCCGGCCTCCTGGGTCGCGGGTTCCAGGAGGGGGTCGGGACTCTTGACGCCCGAAATGGGTATTGAAAGAATGGGTGCAATGCCCAACAGCAGTTCCTGTTCAATTTGGGCAGGATCCGCTGTCCACGCCGCCGCGGCCTGTGTCCATTTGAGACAGAGGGCCGCCTGTCCAACAGCGGCCGCTGTTGGTCTGGGACAACATTTGCTGTTAGGCATTGTGCCCATTTTTTCGGTACCCATTTCGGGCGTCCAAAGGGACTGGGGGTGGGGGGTGGGTTTTCGCCTTCCCAGCGACGACGGCCATCGCCGCGACTCGGCCACGCGAGAGGCCTCCCGGGTGGGGTCCGAGCAGGCGGGGTCGGAGGATCGCGCCGCCTCGTCGATGCATCGCCGGAGCATCGGCGGTGCGGCGGCGATGCACAGGCGACGTGGGCGAGTCATCTGCGACGTCGGCGTGGAGAGAATTGGGCCCCACGTCGAGCCGCATCGCCGATGCATCGGCGATGCGGCACGATCCCCCGGCCCCAGCTACTCCGACCCCATCTGGGAGGCCTATACACGCGCAGAGGGGGAGAAGGGGGGGGGGCTTTAAGAAGCACCTCTGCTTCTCAGAAGGCGCGGGCCTCGTCTGTAGACGTAGGGCCGGCGCCTTCTAAGAAGCAGCCTCCTCCTAAGGAAAGCAGCCTCCTTCTAAGAAGCATTCCCCCCTCCGCTCACCCCCTTGTGCGCGCCACCAAGATCGCCACGACGACGACGAGGACGACGACTTTCTAGGGCGACTGCAAGGGCGGTGGCGAGGGCGACGTCGAGGGCGAAGGCGACGCAGACGACAAGGGCGAAGATCACAACCACGACTAGGATAAGGACGACACCTCGATGGCATGACCACGACGACACCTCGACGACATCACCTCGAGGAGTGACGACGACCACCACGACGGCGAGGACGACATTCGGCGCGGCGGCGCGGGTGCCATCCAGAGGAGAACAAGTACCGACACTGCTGCTACTAGCGTCCCTCGTCGCCACGGTTGAGTCGGCCTCGGAATTTTGGTCAGACTGCACCCTGGGAGGGGTCTGGCGAGCAGTGGTATCCGTATCTTCTCGTCTCCCCGGCCTTCGACGGCGGCCAGGGTGCGATCGACTGGTCGTCGACCGATCGATCGATCGAGCGTGATTGCGACTCGCGCCTGCCTTCTAGGCTTTCTAGATGGGGTCGGAGTAGATGGGGTCGGAGGATCGCGCCGCATCGCCGATGCATCGCCGATGCGGCTCGATGTGAAACCCGATTTGCTTCACGTCTACGTAGCCGATGCATCGCCCACGTCGACGATGCATCGCCGGCGCGATCCTCCGACCCCATCTGCTCGGGCCCCATCTCGGAGCTCTCTATGCCTGCGGCGAGCAGCCAGACCCACACGCGCCCTGGGAGGGCGCGTGTGGGTCTGGCCCGTATTTTCTCGTCTCCCCGGCCTTCTACGGCGGCCGGGGTGCGATCGACTGGTCGTCGACCGATCGATCGATCGAGCGTGATTGCGACTCGCGCCCTGCCTGCGGCGAGCAGCCGGACCCACGCGCGCCCCGCACCCGCGGCGAGCAGGGCGCCCCGCGCGGGGGCCCGCCGTGGGGAGCCACGCGGCTCCCAGGGCGCGCCGCTCGACGGCACCTCTCGGGGGGCGGCCCGCGGCGGGGCGGCGCGGGGGCGCCGAGGGTTCGGAGCGCCCCCGGCAGCGCGGCAGAGCGCTCCTCCTCTCCTCCTCTCCTCCTCCTCCTCCCTCCTCCTCCTCCTCCTCCTCCTCCTCCTCCTCCTCTCCTCCTCCCCTCCTCCTCCTCCTCCCTCCTCCTGCTCCTCCTCCCCCCTCCTCCTGCTCCTGCTCCTCCTCCTCCTCCTCCTCCTGCTCCTCCTCCTCCTCCTCGTCCTCCTCATCCTCCTCCTCCTGAGGGATGGCCGAGCGACCTCCCCCAGCTCGTACGCGGGGGGATGGGGGGCCATACTCATCGAGAGCGAAAGAGCCCCTAACCCGAACAACGCACTGAAGCCGTGGCCTCATTGGGATCCCCGTCGTTGCGTCGGGCATGCTAATTCTGGGCGGTCTGGTTCGATGCATCTGCAGAGGAGACTCCCTGCCCTTGAGGCGTTTGGCCCTCCTACCTGAGGTCCCCCCCCCGAAAGGGTTAGAGGTCTTTGATTTTGGGTTACAGTCAACGCGCATAGTAAGGACAAACGACTTTTTCAAGGGTACCCTTGGGTCCTTGCCTGCCTCAGCCTCTGCGGCCCGTCCCTGGCAATTTTCGCAGGCCAGTTTCTCAGGTTCCCTGGGGGTTTGGCCGCCTGCCGCCCAGAATACTTTAACTTCGGGCTCCAACGGTCTTGCGTCCTTACCGCGCGTCCTTACTATACGTTTCCACTGTAATCCGATACGGATACCAGGGGAGGCCAGGGGCGGCCAGGCCACGGGGGCGGCGGCGACCCGCGAGGCGCGGCGGCACGCGGGAGACGGGGGGAGGCCCGGGTAACAGGGGACATGCCGACCCCGAAGCCAGGAGGAGGAGGAGGAGGAGGAGGAGGAGGAGGAGGAGGAGGAGGAGGAGGAGGGGAAGGAGGAGGAGGAAGAGGAGGAGGAGGAGGAGGAGGAGGAGGAGGAGGAGGGAGGAGGAGGAGGGAGGAGGGAGGAGGGGGGGGGGAGGAGGTGGGGGAGGAGGTGGGGGAGGAGGAGGAGGAGGAGGAGGAGGAGGGAGGAGGAGGAGGAGGCGGAGGAGGAGGAGGAGGAGGAGGCCCTTGTCACAGCCGCCGGATTCGCCTCGCAATGCTGGTCACGGGGAGTAATTAGCAGTATCGGTACCTTTTGCTCTCCCCAAGACCGAGGGGGGGAGGAGGCAGGTGGCAGGACGGGAAGGAGGGAGGAGAGGAGAGCAGTGGGCAGGAGGGAGGCAGGAGGGAGGCAGGAGGGAGGAGCGGCAGGATGAGACGGGAGGGTGACGAGGAGGAGGGAGGAATATGAGGAGGGGGAGGAGCAGGAGGAGAAAAAGGAGGAGGAGGAGGAGCAGGAGGAGAAAAAGGAGGAGGAGGAGGAGGAGGAGGAGGAGGAGGATTGCAAACCCAATATGATGCAACGATGTTGCACTCGACCCTCCGTCCAAGTTCCCTCTTCACAGGCCGCATACATGTATTCATATGCAGTGAGGGAAGTGCCCCGTTGCAAGATAACTGTTTGAACATCCTAATCCGTGCCAGAAAATCATTCCTTGGACTTCAGTGCCGTGAATCAACGTTACTGTTTCAGTTTGACGATCCTGAATCGTGCCAGAACACCGTCCTGGGATTTTAACACCACGAGCCAACGTAATTGTTGCACCTGGACGGTCCTACATCTTGCCTAACACCATTCCTGAGGCTTTAACTATCCATCGGGGTCCTTGAATCTGCTGTGGAATCTGAAGACGAATGCGCGCGGCGTTAAGGCAAGAACCACAGTTTGAAAAGGTGCCGCCTTCTATCCGTGAAACGATTGCGGACGTTTGCGACGGATGCGTGCGGCGTTGAGGCGAGGGCCACATGTTGGAAACGGCCCGAGGGGGAGGGGGAGGGGGAGGAGGAGGAGGAGGAGGAGGAGGAGGAGGAGGAGGAGGAGGAGGAGGAGGAGGAGGAGGAGGCATCCGTGAAGCTCGCGCATGTTTCCCCACCCTCCAGCGTTGGGCTTTCTCTTTGGAAGTAGCACTGCGCTCTCCCCATCCTTCGTTCCCGCCCCCCTTTCTCTCCATTCCCTCCTCCTCTGCTCTCCTGCCCCCCTAACTGGCATGCGCCTGCCTGCCAGCCCGCCTCTTGCCTCGCCATCCTGTGTTAGCTCGCCATCCCTGAGAGGCTGCCATCTGCGAAACTGTCGCCACTTTCAGGAGCTGCTGGGAGGCCCCGCGTGACGCGCTACGCAGACTCAGATTAGACCTCGCCGTCCCGGGGGTCTGCGAACTGTGAGGTTGTCGCCACTTTCAAAGGCTGCTGGCAGGCCCAGCGGGGTGATGCGCTACGCAGACTCGGATCAGACTCGCCTTCCATGGGGGGCTGCGAGCCGTGAATCTGTTGCCACCGGCGATTCGAATCGACCTCCCAGGGTGCCGATTCGAGCCGACTCGATGCGAACATCCCGATCCGCGATTCCGAGTTCGAGCTCGCCCGATCCGCCGATCCGACCCCTGCTCCTCCTGCTCCTCCTGCTCCTCCTGCTCCTCCTCCTCCTCCTCCTCCTCCTCCTCCTCCTCCTCCTGCTCCTCCTCCTCCTTCCTCCTCCCTCCCCCCTCCCTCCTCCTCCTCCTCCTCCTCCTCCTCCTCCTCCTCCTCCTCCTCCTCCTCCTCCTCCCCCTCCTCCTCCTGCCTCGCTCTGGGGGCGCGGGGCGGACCCTCGCCGGCGACGGCGGCGGCGGCGTTGACGGCCTCCGGCGGCGTCGGCGGCCTCTGGCGGCGACGGCCCACGGCGGCGTGGGCGAGGGAGGCGCGGCTGGCCGCGGGCCTCGACCCTCGGCCCGGAGGGATGCCACCCTCGAGGGATGCCACCCTCGAGGAGGAGGGAGGACGGAGGGAGGAGGAGGGAGGAGGGGAGGAGGGGCCGGGAGGAGGGAGGAAGGGAGGAGGGGCCGGGAGGAGGGAGGAGGGAGGACGGAGGGAGGAGGAGGGAGGAGGGAGGAGGGAGGGGCCGGGAGGAGGGAGGACGGAGGGAGGAGGAGGGAGGAGGGAGGAGGGGCCGGGAGGGGAGGGAGGAGGGGCCGGGAGGAAGGAGGAGGAGGGAGGAGGGGCCAGGAGGGGAGGGAGGAGGACGGAGAGGAGGGATGCCACCCTCGACCCAGAGGGAGGAGGGAGGCGGCGACGACGGCATTCCCCCCGGAAGGGCCCCAAGCCCCACCTGGCGTCCACAACCCCCCCCCCCCCGGGAGGCGGGTTGCGGGGTCCGCACGCCGGGTCTGTAACACCCCCCCCGGGGGGGCGTCTGCATGCAAACCCCAGGTTTGGGTCTGTGTGACCCCCTCCCCAGGGGGGGTCTGCAACCCCCTCCCCGGGGGGGTCTGCAACCCCCTCCCCGGGGGTCTGCAACCCCCTCCCCAGGGGGTGTCGCACCCCCCCCCCCGGGGGAGGCTCGCATTGCTGACCCGCAGGCCAGGTAAGCTTCGACGGCGTCGGGCGACGTTCGACGACTCACGACTACGATTGCGACGACTCTCGATGACGTCGGACGACGTGCGACGACGGTTGACGAGCGGTCGGACGACGACTGCGACGACGTTCGACGACGTCGGACGACTTACGACAACGTTCGACGGACGGGGATCTCAATAATGAGTCCCACGAGAGGATGCGCGGATTGTGCCTGC